AACTTGTGCTGGTAATTGTTAAAAATATACGATACTAAAATGATTGCCAACATTATTGCTTTAATTCTCCTTCTAGTATAAGTGGTCAACTACTAACGAACAGAGGGTCAATTACTAGTGTTTTCATTTTTAAGAGTGGTCAACTTCTGAAGCAGTTACTGAATTTTTAAATATGTTTTTTAAATTTTTATAACATAACTTTTTTTAAAAATTGGTATTGTTACATAATCTAGAAGGCTTAAAGAGTATCTTCAGGCATCGACTCTCGCTACTTAATGACAGAACAAGTGGTTACTATTGTTCGCGTGAAGGATTTCTCTTAACTGGTCAACTACTGATACCTTTACCTTACATGTCGTCTTCTTTAATCATCTATACCTTCGTCAATTTTACGAATTCGGAAAAATCCTTCGACAGTTATACTTCTGCCAATGTCTACCTTCAGAAAATGTAAAAGAAAAATCGATTTTTTTGAAAAGTCTCGACTAGAATACTGCGACTACAATTGGTCACAGGAGAATCCTCACTCCTTTAGTTATTTCATTATTTGCATCTATTCCCAAACATTTCTCAATTTTTCGTACTTAAGGTCACGTGAAGGTTACGGTAAAATAGGTCACTGGATAGGTCTTGACCTCAGCTGTAACGTCATGATGATAAAAATATGTAATCCCATTTAAGAAAACATCGATGACCTTGAGAAGAATTTTCTGCTTTTTATAATATCTACCTCTTCGAACCAAACAATGTCTTTCTTTGACACTTTTCTCATATTGTCAAAAACAAGTGAGATATTTGAGGCGATCAAGTTCACCCTGCATAAATCAATATAAATAAAGCCAAGTCGCTTCCAATTATCTAAAATTCTTAACCTCAACTTCAACAATATGTTAATACCTTGTAAAGAATTCTGATAAACAAATAGCGGAGCATAAAATTCAACAATAACTGCACCGTATAACTAAGTGAGCACAGTGCAATATTAATCCTTTACAGTGTAAATTTGTCAAAAGAGCGTTTTAAGAATTATGACGCCAAACCAACGAAACTGGTACTCCAACTTTTATTGTAATTAGCATTGTAATTGTGCGCGTGTACAATATTCTTTAATAAATTTCCACCTAGAAGTATTGTAAATAACAAAATTCTGGTGGAAGAGAAAAAAAAAATGAATGTGGTGATATTATAATATACATTTGTTTCTCCCAGTTCAGTTGCGTTGCATCACGCGCCAAGAGGCTTATCCCAAGAAATTCTGATTAACTCGAAATGTCCAAGAGATGTCTTCTCAGTTCTTAGTAAAAGAAATTTTTTTCAATGATTCCTCCCCCTTAATGAAAGTTCCATTTCCGGAAACTGTTATATGTCATCAGTGGTACACACAACACAGAAGGTTTTAAACATCGAGTCAAGGTAAATTTATAATAATCAAAATTACGAAAAACACATAAACTTCTCTCTCCTTTATCCATTTTCTACTCACCTTTTAATCTCCTTGTCTATCTCATAATCCACCAAACTGTCCCTATCGTCATCGACGTTCCTCCTCCTCTCGATGACCGCGGTCTCCAGCAAGATCGTCAGTTCCGGTTCATCCGGTTGCGCCAAACTGCCAATCTTGAATCCGTCATGTTCCTTTAGCTTCGTCTGCCCCTTCAATCTACTTCTCTTCGATCCTTCACTACCTGTCCTACTCAACTTCCTATCAATCTTCTCCCCATCAGTAACATCCGCCTCCTCGCCAACATCAGTGACTTTGGACAAGTCCAACAGAATCTCCGCCTTAATATTCCTCTGAGAAATTTTATTCTCCTCGCTGATATGATCACCAGTGTCCATTAGAGTGTTCTCAGACGTGGACTTGGCCAAACTAAGCAACTGCAGCTGAGAAACGTTTATGGTTTCCGGTGATGGTACCCTTCCAGTTTTCACCCTAACTGAGTCAGACACCATCACCACTTCTGGCGGCGAATGAACCTCGATTCTCGCCGGTTCCTCTACTCTATTCGCGGCTGCCTGTTCAGCAGTGATTATCCTAGCCTTCACCAGCTGAACCTCAGGAAGGATTCCACTAATCTGTTCACTAGTATCTTCAAAGAAGATCTCTTCGACGTTCTCCTGTATCCTAACTTCCTTCTTCGTGTCGTCCAGCAAGGATTCTTTGGAAGATTCCCTAGAGAACGCACCAGGCCTCTTTCTCATTGAACTTCGTCGTTTGGTAGCCACTGGTGCCTCTGTTTCTGAACCCGTCACCAATATCTTCACCTCTTCGGCACTTTCTGGAGGCTTGTCTAGAGTCGTGACAGTTGTTCTAACAGGCGTAACAATGTATTTCTCCGATTCTATTGAAGAGGGCGTCTTCACCAGCTCCTCAGACCTCTGTAAAGTTTCCCTCTTCGCTCGTACTGTTGACTCTTCCTCCGAAATACCTCGACTAGACACATCATGAGCCTCTATAAGGCTAGAAGGACGAACAATACGTTGCTCTTTGTCTTCAACAGGCGACTGGACAGTCATTTCCTCCTCGCTGTCTGGAGCCATGTCGGAATACGTCAACGCACTGTGCTTACTCAGGAATTCCGTCACCCTCTCGATACACCCCTGCTCCCTGAGGCTCTTTCGTTCCTCTCTGGACCTAGTCACAACTTCCTCTAGCTCTGTCCTCCTTTTAGAGTCGTCAGCCTCCATTTTGCAGACTTCTGTGTACGTTTCTTCGCTCTCGTCTATCTTCCTCCTGAAAGATCTTCGATCGTGATCCTTTTTTTTGAAAATCTTCTTCCTGGCGCCTTTCTCAACCACGTCTGCCTTGTTCACCACTTCCTTAGAAGAGGACATTCGTTCCTCAGAGTCCATACGCCTTAAGCTTCTTCTTTTCTCAGAGTCCGGGCGTTTTCCAATGGTTGATGACGGTTGTCTTGCGATTTCAGGCACTTTATCTGGTAATTCTTTGGATTCTATCACTGGCTCCATCTTTAACTTCACCTTTGGAGCGACTTTTTCTACACCTGTGAATATCTCCTGGTTGTACTTCATAGCCATCTTCTTGCTGGGTGGTGTCACGCTTCCGTCGATGATGAGGATGTCTTTTTCGTCCAGGGGGCTTGTTGGTTGAAAATCGTGCACGTCGACCTCGATGGTTTTCGGAGGTTTGTCTGTTGGTAGAGTTTTGGAGGTGGGACTGCAGGTCGGTGTGATAGGTGAGGCATCCTTCCAGTGTTCCTCCTCTTCGTCGGATTCCGGTTTGTCCATGGACAACTCTGTTATCCCTGGAAAGAATGTTGATGGTGATTAGAAAGAGGTTTTATCGAAGTGAATGAGATGGTTTGCTTATGATCTCTTGATCAGTGTTTTTTTTTTATTAATCGTTGCGTATGTAGTGTTCGTTTGTATAAATATTTAAGTATTGAAAAGTTGTATCTTTTTGTCGAAGTAAATGTGACATTTAGTCAGATTTAATTTTAGTTAAGACAACTCT